GACCCTGTGCAAGTCCCTTTACCCTGATTGCCTAGCAAAAACAAAAACAAAAAACAAAGAGGCAATGACAAAATAAAATTTTCATTAGTTTCAGGTGGTTCTCACTGATTATTTAAAATGAATCTAAATGACTATTTATTTATTTTTATATTTCATTATATGACTATATATGTATATTTAAAATAATATCAGTTACCCTTTTCACTGAATTTATACAGATAATATACATATAATACAGGTAGAGAATAAAGTGACACCTGGTTCAAACTTGATTGTTTAGTATATTTATAAGGCTGAAAACTGAACTTGGTGTAGGAAAGAAAAAATGTGTAAGACAGTAGAAATGGCCAAATGAGATGGAATAACAAAAAAAATTCGTTCAGTAGACAACTGAAATATTACTATGTGTGGTAGGAGCAAAATATCTTACTAAAAATACTTTTTCCTAAGGCCCTGCCCCCATTCAAGACAACTATTTTTTTCCTTAATAGGTATTGAAACTCTTCTCCAAAATTAAATAGTGAGGGGCAGCTAGCTCTGGCCTTGGAGTCAGGAGGACCTGAGTTCAAATCCAGCCTCAGACACTTGACACTAGCTGCGAGACCCTGAGCAAGCCACTTAACCCCAATTGTCTCACCAAAAAACAAAACAAAACAAAACAAAAAATTAAAAAGTGAAATGGAGTTGTAAGAAGCAGTGTGGTAAGCTCTCCACACTGATCTAGAAAATGTACCGGATACCGTCCTAATGAGGAAATCCAGAAAAACGCAGTCATTTGTCCAGCCCAGATTGCCCTCGGCCTTCTGACACCGAAGAAGGATTGAACCAGGAACGTGTCATTAAGGGACCACTCTAGCACCCAAGAAGAGGCTGAGCACCAGAGTGACAGGAGGTCCCAGATCCATATCGGGATATCCCCAGACCTACACCAGGACTATGAAGGGAACAGATGTAAATTAGAAGACTTGTCACTCCCTATTCAGTACATGGTCACAGATCCAGGGCTGAGTGAGGACGCCTGTGCAGAGGACCTGTGTCTCCAGGTCGGGGGTTGGGGGTGGAGACTTGGGCTTTGTATGGAGAAAGGAAGAAGTTTAGAAGTTCACAGTAGCAGTGGTATAGCTCAGAGGAAGCTCTAACTTCCAGCGTCTAGCCCAGCCCTCAAGGCATGACTAAGACAGGAAACCCAGACCAAAGCAGGGTTGGGGGTGGGGTCTACAATTCTGCCGCTCTGAACCAATAGAGCATTCCAGCTGGCTGATAAGAGTGGAACACAGCAGCAGTCTACTCTACAGCAGCCAAACCCAGGCCAGGAGCTTGCTGAACTCAGCCCAGGGAGGGAGAGCAATCAGACTCTGCCCTCCATCAGACCACTTTGGAAGCACTAAAAGTTTGAAGGTCTCCAGACTGTCCTTGAGATACTAGAATAATATAACATTCAACACCTCAAGAAAGCAGCAATATGACTGGTCGCCAGGCCACATCTCTAGAAGTGAGCTTTAATATCAAGTCAAGAATTAGGCCGAACGAGCGAAAAAACAAAATAAGAACCCCAGCATACTGAGTGATTCTGGTAGCAGGGATGCTCAACACACATACAGGGATAAAGAAAATGCTTCCAAAACAACTGTAAGCGACGCCTCAGAGAAAAACCCAGCTTGGGCACAAACTCAACTAGAATTCCTGGAGGAGATGAATTAAGAGACTTTTTTTAAAGTTTAAAATGTTTTTTAATAAATGAAACAAGTGTGCTTAAGGAAAAAAAAATGGAAAAGAAAGGAGGGAGGTAGAAGAAAGAATTGGAAAGGAATTTAACAGGTCGATACAAGAGGTACAAAACCTTGCCCAAGCAACAAACAGCTTGAAAATTAGAATCAATAAAATGGAAGCTAATGGGGGCAGCTAGGTGGCGCAGTGGATATAGCACCGGCCCTAGAGACAGGAGGACGTCAGTTCAAATCCGGCCTCAGACACATAACACTTACGAGCTGTGTGACCCTGGGCAAGTCACTTAACCCTATTGCCTAGCCAAAACAAAACAAAACAAATGGAAGTTAATGACTTTATGAGGCAACAGGAAATATTAAAATGAAGTCAAAAGGCTAAAAAAGTAGAAGAATATGTAAAGTATATCATAACAAAATCAACTGACCTGGAAAACAAATCAAGATGAAAAAATTTAAGAATCATTGAACTATCTGAACACCATGAGCAAAAAAAACAACTTCTAGATATCATATTTCAAGAAATCTTAAAAGAAAACTGCCCAAATCTTTTAGATCTAGAGGGCAAAGTGAAAATAGAAAGAATCCACCAATCACTTACTGGAAAAACAAACAAAAACACAAAAACAAACAAAAACTCCCAAGAACATCATAGCCAAAACTCAAAGCTTTTAAGCGAAAGAAAAATTACTGCAAGCAGTCAGAAATAAAAAATTCAAGAACTGAGAAAACATAGTCAAAATCACACTTGATGTCATAACCACCATTACAAAAGGGCAGAGAGCTTAAAATATGATATTCTTGAAGGCAAAGGTTATAAGCTTACAGTCAAGAATAACTTACACAGCAAAACTGAGTATAATGACACATGGGAAAAATGAATTTTTAATGAAATAAAGGACATGCAAGCATTCCTGATGAAAGTACCAGAGCTGTAGAGAAAGTTCAAATACAGGAACGAAGAGACTTATAAAAAGGTAAACATCAGTGAACAATGATAAAGGACTAAACAAGGATAAACTGCTAACATTCAAATATGGGGAAATGATACAGTGTCCCCTCTGAACCCTATCATCATCAAGGTTGAAAGATGGAGTCCAACTAGACAAGACCTGGGACAGGTTCTGTTATATCTTGATGAACTTAAGAAAAGAATGGAAAGAGAAAAGAGGAATACCTTTGGGGTAGGGGGAAGGGAAAGGAAGGTTAAGGAAAAATTATCTCACATAATTGGGATGCATGAATAGATATCTACATAAACAAGGTGAGGAAAAAAAGGAGTGGCTGACATTTGAACCTTACTCTCAGCTGAACTGGTCAAAAGAAGGAAGAATACACACACACACACACACACACACACACACACACACACTCACACACAGAGGCAAAAATGTATTCACTCAACAAGGAAATATCAGGGAAAGGGTGAAAGGAGGAAAGGATTTGGGTAGATTAAAGGAGAGATTAGTCCTAAGCAAACAAACTCTAAGTATGTTCAAAAATATTTGTAGCTGGGGCAGCTAGGTGGAACAGTGGATAGAGCACCAGCCCTGAGTCAGGAGGATCTGAGTTCAAATCTGGCCTCAGACACATAACACTCACTAGCTGTGTGACTCTGGGCAAGTCACTTAACCCCAATTGCCTCACCAAAAAAAAAAAAATATATATATATATATATATATATATATATTTGGAGCTCTACCAGCATCTCTGATAAAGGCGTCATTTCTAAAATATATAGAGAATTGAGTCAAATTTATAAGAATACAAGTCATTCCCCAATTGATAAATGGTCAAAGGATATGAACAGGCAGTTTTCAGAGGAAGAAATTAAAGCTATCCATAGTCATATGAAAAAATGCTCTAAATCACTATTAACTAGAGAAATGCAAATCAAAATAACTCTGAAGTACCACATCAGATTGGCCAACATGACAAAATAGGAAAATGATAAATGCTGAAGATGTGGGAAAATTAGAACACTAATGCATTGTTGGTGGAGTTGTGAATTGTTCCAACCATTCTGGAGAGCAATTTGGAATTATGCCCAAAGGGCTATAAAATTGTGCATACCCAGCAATACCATTTCTAGAGCTGTATCCCAAAGAGATCATAAAAATGGGAAAAGGACCCATAGGTACAAAAATATTTATAGCAGCTCTTTTTGTGGTGGCAAAGAATTGTAATCTGAGGGGATGCCCATAAATTGGGTAATGGATAAACAAGTTATGATATATAAATATGATGGAACACTACTGTGCTTCACTCATCAACATAATGATTACCAATCAGGATTCTGGAAGACCAATGATGAAACATGCTACCCATCTCTTTATAAAGAGGTGAAGGATTAAGAATATAGAATGAGACAAATTTTGGGGGGACATAGACAGTGTGGAAATATGCTGTGATTGATTATCCATGTTTCTAATGGGTTTTGTTTTTCTAGTATTCTCAATGTGGAGGGAGGGGTTAGAGTGGGAGGGCATGAAGGAGGATCCTGACTGATGAAAACAAATTTTATATAAATATATGTGTATTTATACATATATACACATAAATGTACGTACACATGTACATGTATACATGCATGCACATGTATAAATACATATATATATATATACACATATAAGACTTAACTGGTCCAGGGGGTTAAGACTTCAACCACTGACACAGCTTCCTAATGGCTTAAATACAAAAGCCAGTGTACAGGGAATGAGGAGCTCCTCTCCAGTGATGTCAACATCACTGCACCATCATGGCAAATGCAGAGGCAGGGAGGCTGTGCAGAATTAAATCAATGCTGTATCCTTGCTGAATATCTTTTTTATCCTATAGTTAAATAAATTACCTCTTGTTAACCATTAGATGGGAGTATCTAATTTTGTTCCATTCCTGACCCTGAAACACCTAGATAGATTGGGTTAACACTAGGATTATAGTAAACCCTATGTAAGCTATTTAACAATGGCAATGTAAATTAATGTCTCTAAATCTGTTTCCTCAACAGAAAATGGAGAAAATACCACCAGTTGGATCTATCTCATAGGGTTATTATAATGCTCAAAAAAGAATATATGTCAAGCACTTTGCAAATATTAGAGTGCTAGATAAAAGTCAATTTTTAAATAACCAAATGTATACTGTTACATAATTTATTCTAAGAAAATAAGAATGGAGATCTGATATTAATAAATGGAAGGTAATACAAGCCCATAATATGAAACAGACAGGATAAATCCAGGTCTAGCTATTAAAAAGACAAAAATGTCAAACCTCTGCGGTGATAGATCCCAACACAATGCGATTACAGCTGTACCCACTGTTCAGAACAAAGCATTGTGGTCCAGAAGGCTTTTTCTTGAATACATCTATAGGAACAGTTGCCAAACCAAAGAATAAACCTAAAATAAAATAGAAAAGGTAGTGTACCAAAATAGAAAAATAACTGGTTTCAAGTCCTGGCTCTTACACATACTGTCTATGTGACTGGGAAAATCACAATTTCTCAGCCCCAGTTAACCATCCAAAATGCTTAAGTTACAGAACAATCACTGACTTGTAGAAAGAGTTTTCCATACTGATGAAATCATAGGTATGGACCAAATGACATCAAACTCCAAATATGTGGAAAATTAATAAGAACAAAGAAAGGTTCATATCATATTCAAGTTACAATTTTGAAAGCTGCTATTAAAATATGCACCAAAAACACTAAGAAAAAAGCCTGATGCAAATAAACCTATATACAGGGTGCAAGAAAAATTATTTTAGACCTACCTAATAAAGCTCAGAAAAAAAGAATCTGAATAAAAATGGAAAAACATAATCCTTATCATCTATTCTTACCCTTTTAAGCTAAACAAACTCAAGGCTGACAAGTGCTTCACTATGGCACCAGTTAAAGAGGCTGCCAAAAGTGTTAAAATTAGTAAAAAAAAAAAATTATTAGCTCTCTTCTGCAAAGCTAAACTTTATTTATATTAAATCAGTAGTCTGTATAAAGCTTGCATTCAAAACTTGAAGCTAAATAAAGTCAAGTTCAATATATTCACAAACATGTATTAACACTTCCATGTGTTGTTACTTCCAGTGAAAATTTCAGCTACATTGAATAAACCAAAGATTAATTTTTTAAATAAAAATTTCTCACATCAGAAATCTAAGGTTTCAATAGCATTACCTAAGCACTATGAACATTGAGCACATACAGTCCTCTTGGCCTTGACTTTAAAAAAGGGTTTAAATTATTTCTCCCCTCTATACCTTCACTTTGTACCTCAGTTTCCTAGAAGTAGGTAGGAAGGATATTGGGTGCTAAACTAGTTGAAAATAATTCCACCAAAGTAAGTTGAAAATACTTACTATCTTTGGACTCCCCATCTTCTAAAACATGCATTTGTAACTCTTTGGATTTGGCATTTAATTCACTATGAAAAAAATAATGAAATATATTCACAATGAAATATTTTAAAGCAACTCAATCTATTTGGGGTACCCACATAAGGAGTTCCATACAACCATAAATATTAAGGAACTATTAGAAAATCCAATAATCAATGTTTATGCTTCCATCATTAACAATATTAATTTCCTCTGAGGTTTTACCTCATACCTAGCAAATTGACAAAGACTGAAAAAGATAGGAATAGGTGATCTTGTAGGTGTTCTAGAAAGATTTGGACAAACTAATAAAACCTTCTAGGTGGAGCTTTGAATTGGTCCAAAAATTCTAGAAAAGAATTTGAAATTATGTCAAGAAAGTGGATGAAATAGCCAAAACCTTTGACCCACAAATTCCACTACTGGGCACGTATCACAAGGAGATCAATGACAAAAAGAAAGGAGTCATAAATTCCAATATATTTATAGTAGGACCTTTTGTAGCAGCAAAGGTCTAGAAACAAAAAGGGTGGTCATCAATTGCAAAATACAATATTATGGTAATGTAAAATATAAATATGATTGATATAAAGAATCATAGGAAGACTAGATGAATACTGATTCACAGTGAAGCAGAATTGTGAAAACAATACATACAAATAGCACAAATGGAAAAAAAACAGTGCAACAAAGTAATAAAAACTAAGTATTTCCAATTATAATGATCAAGTTTGGCCTAAAAAAAGAGGTAAGAGAAGGTACCTGTTCCCACTTCTTTGCAATGGTAGAAGACTGGACTTTTTCTTTTTAGCTTTTTTCAATTAGCCAAAAAAAACCCAAAAAACAAAAAACCTCTCCCCTTCTCATTTCTCCTTCACCCCTACCATTATCCCTAATAATTGAAAAAGAAAGAAAAACAAAATGTTTGCTTTTGACTACAATAAAAAAAAATTCCTACATTGGCCATGTCCTAAGTATATGTTTAATATACATCACCTCTATGTCCAAGATCAATCATCTAGAATTAGTTTGTTGTATTGATCATAGTTCTTAAGACTTTCAAAGTTCTTTTTTTTTTACAATGTTGTTATATAAATTGTTCTCCTAGTTCTGCTCACTTCATTTGCATCACTTCATATAATTCTAACTGAAACTGGCCTCATCATCATTTGTTACACCACAAAAGTATTCCATTACATTCATATACCATAATTTATGCAGCCATTCTCTACTTGCAGAAAACCCTCTAGGTTTCCAGTTCTTTGACAGCACCAAAAGAGCTGATGTAAATATTTGCCCTGTTCTTTCTTTGATCTCTTTGTGGGTACAGACATAGGAGTGATATATTTGAATCAAAGGGTATGCATAACTGAGTAACTTTGGGGGCATGGTTCCAAATTACTTTCTTGAATGACTGGAATAATTCCCAGCTCCACCAATAGTGCACATCTGTTTTCCTGAAATCCCCCCATGCATTCATCACTTTTTTTTTTGTTAAATTTCCTAATCTGATGAGTATGAGGTATTGTTGTTTTCATTTTCATTATCTAATTTGGAACATTTATCTTTTTAATTTTGTAAAAATTTATTTTATTCTTAATTTATGGAATAAAAGAAGCATTTCTATAATATAGTACAACAAAAAAGGATGATTGCATATGAAACTGCAAATCTACTGTGCACAACTTGCTTTTCCTTGCAAATATACAACAAAATTATCATGTAAATTTCTTTTTTTTCCTTACCTCCCCCCTCCTGCCCTAGAGATGGCTACCATTAGACACAAATAGGTATGTATATTTATAATTATTCTATACATACTTCTATTTATCAGTTCTTCTCTGGATGAAGATGGCATCTTTCTTCATATGTCCTTTATAGTTAATTGGGATATTTATAAAAGACAAAAGAAATTCACTCAAAGTTGTTCTTAAAACAACGTTGCTGTTACTTTATACAACGTTCTCTTGGTTCTGCTCATTTTGTTCATTATTTCATGCAAGTCTTTCCATGTTTTTCTAAAATTACTGAGCTCATTATTTCTCATAGTATAGCAGTATTCCATCACAATCACATATCACAATTTGTTCAGTCATTCCCCAACTGATGGGCATCCCTGAAATTTCCAAGTCTTTGCCACCATAAAAAGAGCTGTAAGAAACATTTTAGAACACATAGGTTCTTTTCCTTTTCCCCTAATCATCTTTGGAAATAAAGTAAGTAGGGTAGTTGAATAACTCTTTGGGCCCAATTCCAGATTGCTCTGAAAAATGGTTGGATCATTTCATAATTCCACCAACAATGAATTAGTGTCCCAATTTTTCCACATCCTTTCCAACATTTGTCACTTTCCCTTTATATCATTTTAGTTAATCTGGCAGGTATAAAATATCTCAAAGCTATTTTGTGTGAGGGACTGTTTGATGTTAGCTACTGCCAGGTGGGCATTGTGGCAAGACTGGGGTAAGATCTGGGTGTTTGGAAGTCGAGGCAGGGGCTGTGGTAGGCGGAGTTGTGGTGAACTGGGATGGGCTGGATACGGAGAAGCCCTGAGGCAGTGGGCAGTGCTATGTGAGATAAGCTGGGGAAGGTAGAGTATACAAGGGGCATGTGCTCCTGAGGCAAGGGGCTGGGCCACGTGGGAGTGGGACGGCAGAGGACGAGTTCCCTTTGCTTAGTCCCCTCCCTAAATGCAACGTCAACCCCAGACGCCTCCATCCTGTGTCCTTCCTGACTTCCTGGGTCACGTACCTTCCCTTTGTGTAGCACTGACCCCAGATGCCTCCTCCTGGTATCTGGGCCTGACTCCCTAGGTCACGTACTCTTTGTCTATGCACTAATCCCAGACGCCTCCTTCCTGTATCCGGTCCTAGCCTCCTGCGTCACTCCCTCTCCCTTGGTGCGCTAAACTCAGACAGCCCCTTCCGGTATCTGACCCTACAATCATTGACTAGTAGGTGGGCTGAGGAGGAGGGGCTAAGTAGGTACTTAGGAACAGTCGTGGTCGGAGCACACTGGCTCTCTTTGCTCCTGCTCTGTTGCTCTGGCCTTCCTGCTTGGCCTTGCTGTGATGGCCTCTGAATAAAGCTCGGGTGTTGGCACCTCCTGATGGGTTCGTCTCTGTGTGTGTATCCGGGTAGGCTCCGAAGACTGGTAAGTAGTATGACTCTGGCAGCCTGCTCCTTATAGGAGGAGAGTGTATGGCACGGCCGGCACAAGGTCGGTGCGGCTGGTACAATTTTGATCTACATTTCTGTAATCAATAATGATTTAGAGCATTTTTTCATGTGACTATAAATTATTTTGATTTTGTCATTGGAAAACCGCCTGTTCATATCTTTTGACCATTTATCAATTAACCTTATCTATTGATATAATTTTTAAACTTTTATTATTGATGTAATAAATTATGTTAATAGTTTTCCTTATGTTAAACCATTCCTGTATTCCTGGTATCAATCCTATTTGATCATAACACTTTTTCATATGTCTTAGTGATAGCTTGCATTTCTTCCTCTGAAAACTGCCTGTTCATATACTTTAACCACATCAGTTTTATCATTTTAAATCTAAATCATTTCCCTTTATATCTTGGAAATAAGAACTTTATCAAAGAAATCTGCTGCAAAGATTTTTTTCCCCTAGTTACCAGCTTCCATTTTCATTCTAGCTGCACTGGCTTTGTTTGTGCAAAAATTATATTGGTTAGCCTTGTTAAACTGGTTTTTTTTTTCTTTTAATTCTTTCTTATGTGGGATAACAACAATAGTTAGCATTTACATAGCATAGCAAGGTTTTCAGTGTTTTACAAATATCTCAATTTATCATAACAACAATTCTGAGAGGTAGATGCTATTATTATCCCCATTTTACAAATAAAGTAACCGAAGTAGAGATTAAGGGACTTTTCCAGTGTCACATAACAAGTGTCTTAGGCTAGAATTGAACCCAACTCTTCTTGACTCTAGGTCCAGATGGTACTTTGGGAAGGAGATGAGCAAGGGATACACTGAGAGTGTGATCATTTAAATCCACTTGAATTGTGAAAAATTCACTTAAATTCCAGAAAATAAACAAACAAACAACAATGTCCCCTAAAACTGATGATAGCTAATAGGTAAGGGGAGTAATATACAATTTGCTTTATAACTGCCTCTCTTGCTACAAATGGCTTAATTGCTATGTGACTTTTTTTTTGTAAATAATATTTTATTTTTTCCAATTACATGTAAAGATATTTTTCAACATTCATTTTTTTATAAGATTTTCAGTTCCAAAATTTTTTTCCCTCTCTCACTTACCACCTCCACAAGATAGCAAGCAATCTGACACAGGTTATACATGTGCAATCATATTAAACATATTTCCACATTAGTCATGTTGTGAAAGAACAGAACAAAAGGGAAAAAACACAAGAAAAAAATGCTATGTGACTTTTACAGAGCTCTTTATCTCAAAATTCTTTGTTGTTGTTCAGTGGTTTCAATTGTATCTAACTCTTCATGACCCCACTTGGGGTTTCCTTGGCAATACTGGAGTGGTTTGCATTTCTTCTCCAGCTCATTTTTACAGATGAGGAACTAAGGCAAACAGGGTTAAGTGACTTGTCCAGGGTCACATAACTAGTAAGAGTCTGAGGCTGTTGAGGTTTTAGAGGCTTAGGGGTGCTGGGACCCCAATATCACAACACGTGGATCCTGTCCGAAAGAATTCCACCTAAGCTTTCTTTCAGCCAAGGACAAGGTTTAAAGACTGTGGGAGGGATCTAGGAGTGGCCAAATAGTTTGGGGTAACTGGAGGAGGGGTCTAAAGATCTGAATGGGTGTGCCAGTAAGGTGGGATGAACAAAACTCCTGGGACCTGGACAATGGAGCCTAGCTAGGATTAAGTGTGGGAAATGGCCTGGGGCCACAAGGAGAGCCAGGCTAGGTTAAGGGTAACAGAATGGGGAGATTGAGTATAGCCACAATGAATGGCCAGTTGATGGGATTATAGCCTCAGGCAAATGCCAGAGATTTGGCCATGTGGGAAAGTCCAGGGTTTCTAG